CTGATAGAATTCTGAAACGTTTATCCATGTCCCCCTTTTGTCAATAAACAATGTTGTTTATCATAAGTGTCGTAATCTTAGTTATTTTTAATTCTAATTATTTATTATTTTATTTTGAATTCACTTTACTATCATTCAGAAGAACTGGCAAACCACCCAGCTAGGATGAAGATGCGCTTCTGCAAGGTAGTATTGCTGTCTTTAGTTTGTACTTGTTGACACTAGATGGAGATATAAAATCAATGTACATTTGTGACGATCTTTACAGAACACAGGTGCCTTGTAACAACTTGAAAATGAATTAGAATTTAAGTAAGCTATTACTTGTAAACATTGTGTGTGAAATACAGCTAAAGCTTTCAAACTACAGACTGTTTTAAAACGATTTTGATATAAACAATCTGTAGAAGTGTTTAAGGTACGGTCTCAAAGATGAGAGTACTAATTAACAATACCTGGGATGCTGACTTCAAAGCAGAAATATACAAAAAGAGCAGATAAGACAGCAATGTGCAAAAGTGCGGAGAGCTTTAAATGTAGCAAGCAGTGAAACACGGAAGTGAATGAATGACATTGAGCAGATAATTCAGCTCTTTTGGTATTGCATTTGAATCAGTGGTAAAGTATGGGATAGAAAGTTAGATGGAATACAGAAGTAAAAGGTATGAAGAGTCTGGAGACATGTTTCACAGTAATAATATTGAAGGAACAAAAATGGCTAAAATAATATTTAAAGAGGTAAGAAGAATTGAAAATAACATTAAGAATAAATGGAGGATGAGAAGAATATGGGAAGGTGTTGGAAGTACAGAAATAACAACAATGATTAAAGAGCAAGCAGCTATAACATCTATACAGAAAAGAAGAAATAATGAAGATAAAGATAGAAAAAAATATCCAGAACTGGACTGCAGCACTTATTGCACATAATATAAAAAAGATAAAAGAAATAATTGGAACAGATTAAGATGCAAAATATTCATAGAGGACAAAAACAATGGAATTTAGAAGATCAGAAATACAGGAGATGTAAGAAAAAAAGAAGAGACAATGGAACAAGTATGGGAATATGAAGTATGAGTATGCAAACATTAAAAAAAATATGAATAGTTTTGGAAGATGATGAAAGGAAAAACAAACTGAGAAATGTGCAGGTATATTGAAGAATTTGTGAAAGAAGAGAAAAAGAATTAAAATAGTAATAAATAAATAGATAGTAACAGCAAAATTTAAATAATGACAGTGAATTAAATGAAAATGTATTTTAAAAAATCAATATAATGAATGTATTGTACAAAATTATGTATTCCTATATAATGAGTAAATTCTCTTCAAAAAAATCAGTTTAATTGTAAATATTGTGTATTAAATACAAATAAATCATTCAAACTCCACATTGTTTAAAAAATATTTTCTTATACACATCTCCACAGGTTTTTAAAATATGGTTTCAAAACACAGGATAATAAACTAGTCCCATTCTTCTAAATCATTAGGCAATGCTTTGATAAGTCCTTGGATTTTTCCTAGAATTATTTCATTGGTGCTGAAGCACTCCTCTACACCATATGGAGGTTTAATGACAAGGGCATTTGCAACACTAAGTTCACCAGAGTTATTATTAGTATCCTCCACTGGGATCCGGTTCTTGTTCAGCCAAGTCTTAAGTTTCATTTTCTGCCTCAGAAGTTCTTCTGTTGAAACTTCCATTGTCTTGGGAAGAAACAGCCTGTCCAACTTGGCTTTAAAAATGGGTTGTTCATTAACTATCTTTATTGACTCAATAGTATGCCCCATCACCATGGTAAGTGACAAAGGTATGTCACCCTCAAATTGTACTAGAACAATGCTTTGAAATGAGAAAATTTTTTAATAGAAAAACACATAAAAATATACTTTGATTTAAAGAAAAAAAAGCATATGAAACAAAGAATGTACAGAACTGAAATGATTATCTTGTCAGAGGTTATAAAATCACTAATAACAGGATTTTATACTTTACCACACAATGGATTTCTTTAAGAATTTGCTATATTTAGTAACTTTAATGAATAACCATAAATGTAACTTTCTAACAAGTTCCTCCCATGTTCCAGATCACATTCTCTAACAGTTTACAATAATTATACACTACTTGTAAATCTGTCTAACCTTCTAACATCCTTCTCTAGAGTAAGCTCTAGCAAAAATTTTACTTTTAAATTTTAAATGTGATATCAAAAATTAGGAAGCAGGCTTACTGTTTCAGTTTGAAAATGTAAACCTACAAGTTAATTGTCTATTTTCATAAGTATACTAAAATAACAAAAATGTTACATTATTAAAATACAGGAAAAGCTGCAAAGTTTTTTCTTAATTCCAAATGTGTGTGCAATGAATTAAGTATCCATTCTTTTCCATCTCTGTAGTATTTTTATTCACATCTTTGTTTGGCTTGACTTAGGCTCAACCTTGAAAATTTCTAACTCACCTTCCTATAACTGTCACTTTATAATGTGAATTATATTATAAAATAACTTATGATGTAAAAAACACAAATCTTATTTCCTTTGCAGTTTTGATAAATGGTATATTTTTTATACATCTTAATAACAAACAGTATATAACTGTATAGAATTAAATTTTATCTCATAATGTTCATCTGTTTATTACTAAATTTCATTTCACTAAATTTCTCATTTTTTGATAAAAAATAGCATTATTTCATTTGAAATTTCTAAAAGTATCAATGAATATACATTTTATAAATTATACAAAATTTTCAAAACACCTACATACCATTCAGGCCTACAGATACAAAATTATAGTCAATAAGTGCATATTTTTCCATTTGTCTTTGAAATATTACAAAACATTTTTAACCCTCAGAGCAACAAAACACAAGTTACATTATTTCTGGATTGGTATGCTATTATCTACTGCTGTTTAGATTTTTTAATGCACTCCAAACAGTAATGTCATCAGCGTATTGGGAAAAATATGTATACGCGAGGTCTGGGAAAGGTATGTTATTTACAAATATGATGTATTAGTGGCAAGAGAACTGATCCCTGCAGGACTCCTGCTGTAATGTTTATTGTTTTTGCCATTTATTCTAACAACTGCAGTGTGGTCAGTTAAGAAGTTTGATATCCATCTAATTATAGCACACTCAATGTTCATTGATTGCAGTCCATATCTAATAATATTATACCACACACTCTCAAAAGCTTTATGGAGATCAAGAAAAAACTCCTATAGTGGCTTGATTATCGTTGAATCATTTCAAAACCTATTCCATGAGTCATGTTAAATGACCTATTGTCTGTTTTGGTGAGGAGAGGTTTTTATGTTTTAAAGAAGGCTGATTTCTTCAAGTACAAGTCTTTATGCTTTAATTATTTCAACTAGTTTACATAAACAACTAAGCAGACTAGTTGGTCTGAAGTTATCAGGATTAGAGCTATTGGCTGCAGAGTTTTTTGGGAATAACTGTGATAACTGCTTTTTTCCAGGTATCTGGAAAGTAGCCTATTAGTAGTTATAGATTTATGAAATTAGTTAAATAATAAAGTAGAGTATCTGTTGCTTCCTTAAGAATAATGTTTCTGATACTGGAAGCCGTGTTTGTTTGGTGTTTTTATATTAATCTTTCGTTCAATTTTAGCTGTAATGTTGTCGTATTTAAAATGATGGAACATTTTGTTATTGTTTTTCTCGGAAGTTAGTGATTTGAATTATTTGCAAAACATTTTTAGGATTATTATGTGCATTATCAAGGCTATTGCAAAAGTGTAACCAATTAGTTTCTTTAAGCATCTTTAGGTTTCGTTTCATTTGTGCATGTATTTTAATAATTTTAGGTTTTTGGAAAGTATCCCTTGTAGTTATCAGTAATTGCCTAAGGTGTCTACATTCGAATTAACTCTATTATCAATGAGCATCAATTACATTGATTAGTGTTATGTAAAATAATCAACTCACTGAAATTACTGTTTCCAATTATTAGTGCTTTCAAAAATTCCTTTTTATCATTATTATTTTCATTTCATTTAAGATTCTTTGATAAACAGTTTAGGCAGAGCATTCATATTCAGTTAACTGTGAAATGGATGGCAACTGCCTATTTGGAAATTATTTGTAGAAATATGGTGACTATACCACCTACTTATGCACCTCAAGTGTAGAGGATGATGTTTTGAAAGTCTTTTAGCTCTTTTATAGTTTCAAATTACATCTGAAGTTGTTACAGCAAAATATTTTACATGTACTAAGGAGATATTGTGCAACATTATTGTTTAGGACTATGAAACCATATGAAAGTTTTTACTTTTTTTATATTTTAAGAATTATAATTTGTATGAAGAAACCATTTTGACTATAACTCTCAAGTACAACTGCTTGGTAAATATGCAAAATCTCCCAATGACAACTGGCAAAATACTGAAATAAATCTTACATTTATAGATAATCACATTTTTTGTACAGCTCAATTTTTAAATAATAGAAATTTAAAACTGCAAAAATACAAGAATTTTTCACAATATAGCTTTTTCCTCTTGTGGTTAACTTTCAAGATTTCATAGAAACATAAAAGCCGCATCACAATTTTGTCCTTTATGCATATAGTTTTATATTACTAAAAGTACCAATTTACGTTATACAGTTTAATTGAAAACCTCAGTACAAGCTAATAATAATATGTCATGAACTGAGTTTACCTAAAAACACTTATGAATATTATTCGTTTCACTAATACTAATACTAGAATAGCAAAAGTGGAGTGTTATCAATTGTTCAGCAACTAAGCAGAAAGCTCGAAATATGAATAACAACGTATCTTCTTTCACAGTTTCAGTTTCACGGAGAAACGTCTCATAAGTTATAATAATCATAAAATAAATACACCTTTATAAAAAATTAAAAGTACAATTATACTAATGTTACAACTATGCTATGTAACGTACCTCAGGCTCAACGCGTATTCAACTATGTTATAATTAGGCCTACTCCGACATTAATTATCATTCATTTAAACCTAAGATTTGAACTTTCATGAGGATACTCAGAAATGAAACCCAAATAAAATAATTTAATCAAAAAACGCAACTCACTTCTCTGACACGGGATCTATAGTCTTAACCCATCCTAAATGGCACTTTTTGTCTGACGTATAAACTTCGACTCGTTTATGCACATAACTTAATAACTTAAGAGGGTCATTTCGGAAAACTGCATGAATTTCACTTTTAGTATTAATGGAATTATTACCAAAATAGTCTTCTTCAACGTCTCTTTTCACAATACCCGCCATTTTGCTGCGGTGATTGTTAGTTTTACAGCCAACAGATGTCAGGCCCCGATAATTGCAATTATAGAATATTAATTAAAGCCTTTACAGTACTTTAATTGAAGAAAACAAAGTTGATTTATTTTTCCTCTACCAAATACTCGAAGTCTTCAAAAAGGATTATAGAATTTGATTTTTTCTTAAAAAATGGGTTTATTGGAATTAATTAGATGAAATTTTACTAACAAAAAATTTACATACTGATACATATTTATAAACAAATACGTTTTATATAAGTATATTGTTTAACAGTATTATTATTATTATATTTAATAAGTAATATCAATCAGTAACACTAAAATAGTAAAATCCAAACTAAAAATTATCACCATGGTAACCTACTCGAATTTTTAATTAAAATAGATAGATGTGTTTTCCAGACTAAGTCAGTTAGCTAGTTTATAGGAAATGTATTGTTACATTTCTCTGTGGCCAAAGTTTCTAACTTGTATTTATTAAGGTTACTTACTAAATTAAAAGGTAAATTATTTGTTTTTAATGTTATGACCTGGCTGTAATTACGTTTAATAATAATAAGTACGTGAAAACATCACACCAAGATTGAAAATGATAATTGAAATAACATAATTCTTTACTGTTCCAATATCGATTTCCTGTAAGAAAAATCTGGTGACTCAACGATAAGTCTAAAATTTATAATGCTAAAAATTGGATTTCAATACCCGCGGTGGGCAGAGCACAGACAGGCCATTGTGTAGCTTTGTGCTTAACAATAAACTTCTTATAAGAAGAATGTATAATATTATTTCAACTATATTTTCTTTGTTCCTTGTTTAAAAAAGAGCCTGGCGTAGCCTAGTGTTTAGCAAGTCAATATTTGGATAGAAGAATCCACGGTTTGAAACATAATACCGCTCCGAACTTTTAGCAGTAGACGGTCATAAAAGTAAGAGTCAATCACTTTATTCGGTTTAACGTGCGGGGCAAAGCCCATATGGCGATAGATACTGCTGACTGGTTGTCTTCCCTCTAGTCAACAGTTAAAAATTAGAGATAACTATGCCTGAACCATAGAGATCTCTGAGCTGGTTGTTTAATTCACATGCCCATAAGTGTCAAGCAGGATGAAAATTCCAATTCATTATTTAAAATTTAAATGCAAAACCAGTCCATTTGATTTCAAATAACTAAACATATAAACAACCGATTGTTTATCATTATTAACACTATAGTCGTTGTTGTTTGTTAGTTAAGCCCAAAGGTACACGATGGGCTATCTGTACTCTGCCCATTATGGATATCAAAACCGGTTTCTAGCGTTGTAAGTCCGCAGACATACCGCTGTACTATTGGGAGGGGCGGGGGTCTTCCAAATCAAAACAATCTTATATCAGAATCCAACGATTTCATACATCGTTATTACAATCTTACTAAACGTCTGCTACTCCTTACTCCAAGTAGTCTTCGAGGAAGAGGCATTAAAGCGGTATAGTAAAAAAGGGCTTAAAAACTAATGTATTATAAACATTTTAACTTCCCTTCCGTAAAACTTAAGTGTTGATTTTGTTATTCGTTGACGAAACATTATGGAAAACAAGTTTAAAATACCAAAATAACTTTATATACTCAGAAATGAGAACGTTGTCTTATTTCGATACAGTATTAAAAATAGAAATACTGTCACACTGTTTTACTTCAGCATTTATTATGTACTAGCAGAAAAACCGCCATACGGGCGGCTGTTTATACTAGTGATTACTAATCGCAGTACTTATCTCATCGAAAAAAAATTGAGTAAATATTTTCTAAAAAAGGATTTTTCTGGGAAGTACGCCCGGCATGGCCAGGTGGTTAAGACGCTCGATTCGTAATCTGCGGGTCGCGGGTTCGCATCCCCCATCCCACCAAACATGCTCGCCCTTTCAGCAGTGGGGGTGTTATAATGTGACGGTCAATCCCACTATTCGTTGGTAAAAGAGTAGCCCAAGAGTTGGCGGTGGGTGGTGATGACTATCTGCCTTCCCTCTAGTCTTACACTGCTAAATTAGGGACGGCTAGCGCAGATAGCCCTCGTGTAGCTTTGCGCGAAATTCAAAACAAACAAACTGGGAAGTACTGCACGGGGTAAGTGTTCGTATTGTGCTCTTTAATCAAAATAATTCAACATATAGAGCTCAAACATTTTACTGTAATGTTTTGTATATTAAAAGTGATACCGTTTACTGAAAAAGTAATAGTTTTCAGAACTCCAGTTTTTCAGCACTACATTTAAAATTTAAATCAATAAAGATATAATCAAACCCTCACGTACAGTCCTAGTGAAAGTCATGTTCTTGTTGTGAGAAGAGTACTTTTATTAAAGATTGTGTTCTATTATAACGGAATGATTGTTGCACATACCACAGTTATTTTTCTAATTGTTTAAATCTTGAATATCCAAAGTGTGAATTTCTTTATGGATTTTTGTTTGTGATGCCATTCAATTGATGATGCAGGGGTTTTGAGTACATACATAGATAATGACATACACTCTACATCCATTAGAGTGTTACGTATCTGCTAGTTTGATAATTTCCTTTATTTCCGGTATAAATTCTTTCCGAGGAACTTCAGCGATACATGTCCTTTCTTAATTAAAATTAATTTATTCTTTCTCGATACAACTTTGTAATACACAGAATTTCCACAGTCACTTTAAACTTAACAACCTTTTTAACACACACTATAAATCACAGTGGTTCACACACTTTACTTACGGTGCTTACTGTTCACTTGACTCAATTATCTATCTCTTCAATCTATCTGCATATCTGTCTATCGCTGGCTTTACTTGCTGGCTTATATACTAAAAAAGAGGGTGCCTCGCAAACACTCGGACATTCGCGAGGTTCCTCGATAAGTCATGATCCTTCTAGAAACTCCAGCGTGACTTTCGCTGACGTAACAATAGTAAGATTTAAGTGAAAAACAACGAAATAAAACTTTTTAGATTAAAGTTGCACCCAAAATTTCTACCTTTTATCTAACACATACATTACATTTATAAGTACTTAGAGTATTAAATATACCTGCGATTGTGCATATTTCTAGTTTTAAACGATATGTTAACATATAAAAATGAACAACGGCCTGTTAAGTATGTACATCATTTGTCTAAAATATTTATTTAGAAATATTAATTTAAGTTTCCACACAGGTTGGTGTATTTATTAAAATCAAAAGAAATTACAAATATATCCATTTTCACTGTTATCGCTTTGATCACAGAGTCTGGCAGAAGGAAACATATATAACATTAAAAGTATCACATCTAAGCACAGGCTTTTCTATTTGAGGTTATTACGCTCGTAAAATAATCTATGTCACACAAATAGATGGTGACTCTTGCCTTTTCTTTTCGCTTAGTAATCGTTCAAAGCTTGAATTCTGTTAGACTTAGGTTATACTAATCGCAATAAATACTCTTAGGAGCCCGGCTCCAACTTTCTTAAAAGTTATCTGTATATGGCCGTGATACTAGTACGCGCTTAACCTATACTTAAACTATATCATTGTTAGATCAATGTCCGCACTTGTATTGAATTTAACATCAGAGGAGTCGGAACAGGGGATGCTGTGGCACCCCTACTTTTACGTATTTGAATAATATAGCAACTGTAAATTATATTATTATATTAATTTATATTAATTTTTCTAGATTGAGCTGCTTTTAGCAGCTCCTTATACTTTCAATTTCTCATTATAAAATCTGTATGTCTAGCCAACTCCTTCCTTCACCACTGAACACTTAAGAATTATCATTTTTTCTGCACATACTGATAATGTAAAATACCTTTCATACTAAGCTAGTAAACATTCATCTCAGTCTCTAAATACATAACATTATTTTCCAATTCCCTGGTCAAGTGTTATATCCAATACAACTTCGGACATTGATCTAACTATGATATAAATGAAAAATATATTGAACATCTTTGAAATTAAAGTTAGAAAGGGTAAACAAGTGTTACGACAGCGAAAGTCACGTGACTCTAGAGGCATGCGCGCTGGAGTTTCTAGAAGGATCATGACTGTTCCTGGCAACTCTAGTCTTCCCCAGGCGCCCTCTATTTTTTGTATATAAGCCCAACAAATAAAGTGGAGATAATAACTGCAGATAGACAGAGATAGAGACAGATAATTGAGTCAAGTGAGCGGTAGTGACGGTAATATAAAGTGTGTTTTGTTATCGAGATTGCAAATGTATTGACTGTGGAAATTTTGTGTATTATAAAGTTGTATCGAGAAATAATAAACTAGTTTTAGTTAAGAAAGGACTTGTATCGCTGAAGTTTCTCGGAAAGAATTTCTACGGGAAATTAACGAACGAACAAAGACGTAACAAAAGAAAAAAAAATCAGCGATCGGCACAACGAAATAAATATAATCTGGTATTCAAATTCCTTATTTCCGGTAAAATTATCGTTTAATAGTGCTTGAATAAATATTCACATAAAACACAAGCCAAGTATTTTCATTTCTTGTTTCAAAAAGTTGAATGAACACTTCTATTTTGGAATATTTTAGTGTTTTCGCAATTTTTATCACTTTTCGATAAAAAAGAAGATAGGTACAAACAAGTAGTTAAAAGTTAGTGCCAGAGTGCCAGAGTGAATAGCTAGTAAAGGTAAAAGAACCTGAAAAGAGACTAAAAAGCGAATTAAAGTTATACATACGAATCAACAGGTTTAAGTTTAAAGATCATGGTGGAGGGTTAGTATTGTCATGTATCAGGTTGAATGGGGATAGGTATTTGCACCAAGATTTGGGGATGGCAGCGATTTTATGAAAATCGGATGTTAAAGAGTTTTGGTTGGTGGATTTTTTTGTAATATGTTTGTTTGTTTGTTTGAAATTAAGCACAAAGCTACACATTGGGCTATCTGTGCTCTGCCCACCACGGGTATCGAAACCCGGATTCTAGTGTTGTAAGTCTGCAGACATACCACTGTGCCACTGGGGGGCTTTGTAATATG